CACAAGATGGAATTCACATTTGATTCAAGTGCAAGCTGACAGAAGATGGAATTCACAATTGAAACAAGGCAATATAGTAGTAGAATAAGATTTTTTCTGGTCGAAACTTTTTTATTTTTCTAGCAGATGATACCTTGAAAGCTTTTTGACTTAACATCAAGAATATACAAGAAACTTTAAGGAGTCAGCTAGCTTTTACTCTCGATAAGTACAGAGAACGAAGCGCAGACCAGAAAACCATTTCCTTGGCACAGGGGGATCGAGTGAGTGCCTAGCTGAGTGTCGCGTCGGTCGTCGGTCGCGGCAGGCCCCACCCGTGTAAAACGCTGTAGCTGAAATTCTTCTGATTTTCGTCTTCCCGAGGAGATACCGGGAAGACGACGAAAAGATCCTAACGGCTGGCCGTTTTGTCTTTTCTTCGTCTTCCCTTATGTCATATTATGCCTTATAATGTCATAAGCTGAAATGCAGAAGAATGCAGGGAACAAGAAAACGGCATTGTGATTTCCGTTTTCTTTTTTCTCGCATTCTACCGTATTTTAGTTTTACCGGAATGCTTTATTCAGGTCTGAAGAGCATGACAGTGCAGTGGAACAAGGCGGACACACAGACAGACACCAGGTCATATATGCATTAGCCCGCTCGTTTGCTTTTCCAAATCAGAAGGGTGGGCTTTAAATGAGTCAATACTCATTTTTAAGGAGACATCTCAAAAAAGCAGTGTTTCTCAAGACATAATATCGGGTGCAATAGCAGCCCCCCCCCCCCTCATCGTAAACTTCGTTTAGTTGCCAACTTCGTTTCGCTCGACAGGCAACTCTTCGCACAGATACTTACGTACTCTCAGTAATAATACACATTTCTGTCACAGGCGGTAGCCAACATCGCGTCGTGGAGCGCTAGGGGTGGCTGGAAAGATAATGCATATGTCATGAAACTTCCGAGAGTTTGTTCGACGTTTAAGAGATGTGTCCCAGACCTCTGGGAACGATTCATGGTTATGACATTCAATGACCCGAAAGCCTTCTGCCCTTTCCCGCCGGTGAGAACACATCAGGTAGCGACTAAGTTAACCAAACCACTATATTGTGAGAGGAATCAGTAAGTCGTGTGCCACCCATTCTAATACTATCTGCGTTTTTAGGTGCCCCCCCCCCCCCAGGGGGGCCTTCCTGCTCGCGTGCAAGCGCTTTTTATGCCTCCGATTGGGGGTGCGAATTGCTTTCGCCCGAAAGTTTTTAGGCCCCCGATTAGGGGTGCCTATTGCTTTCGCCCGAGAGTTTTTTTATTATTATAATTCCTATTCTTGACGATGGCCTATCTTATGGTAGAGCTAATCGTGCCCAAGCGAACTTACTAAAATTTGAATAAAAATTACTACAGAAAAATAGAATTGGAGCGAAGTGGAGCTGGCAACTTCGTTTGGCGGAAGGGTGGGCCAGCTTGTTTTTTGTTTCTTTTTTCTTTTTATTTTGTAAGAGAAGACCGGGGAGACCCTAATAAAAATGGGTGGTTTTGGTCGCAGTGTCACAATTAGAGTTTATGGTGGATTTGCAAACATAAGACTTTTATGTACGTGGGATCTAGGACAGTCCCTACAGGCCCGTAGCAGGTCCGCCCTTCCGCCAAGCGGAGTTGCCAGCTCCACCTCGCTCCGCCGGCATCTCCGTTCGGCAGCTTGCGTCTTAGCAAAGTTATTTGATATGTCAGCAAAATTGTTTGCCGGGTCAGCAAAATTATTTGCTGTGTCAGCAAAAGGTTTTGCTGCGTCAGCAAAATTATTTAATCTGTCATCAAAATTATTTGCGGTGTCAGCAAAAGTATTAAACTATATCATCTGCAACAGGTGGTCGCGGCGACATGACGCTCTGGCCCCCGCGCGCGGCGCGTGTGGTAGAAACTGGTTCGTTTAAAAAGACCCTCCAGCGCCTAAACGGTTAGAGATAGAGCCAAAAGGACGAAATTTTTGCCCCAGGTGCTCTACTTTCACGATTTTAAAAGGAGAAAACTTTTTGGGCGAATATTTGAGCCTTGGATACCCCTATTCACAGCCTTTGGGGTGGTTGCCAGGATTTGCCGTAGGCGTTTCGTTTTCTAGGAGTGTCCCTTAAGATGCCCTGAAAATTTGGAGTCTGTAGCACATCTCCTTCTAGTGGAACAGACAGACACACAGATACACAGACACGAGGTCGTTTGCATCAGCCCGCTGGATGCCTTTTCAAACCAGAAGGGCGGGTTAAAAAGAAGAAACTCACCGATTTATCTGTTTCCGTCCGCCACGTATGGGAACTTAGCATGGTATAGTTTGATCCGATCCTAGCCTCTTAGGAACGGGAGCTCGAAACTGATCTGACAGTTTCTCATACCTGCTCCCAGATTCAAGTGCAAGCTGACACAAGATGGAATTCACATTTGATTCAAGTGCAAGCTGACACAAGATGGAATTCACATTTGATTCAAGTGCAAGCTGACAGAAGATGGAATTCACAATTGAAACAAGGCAATATAGTAGTAGAATAAGATTTTTCTCTTATTTGAAAGAAAATATCAGCTTTTGATCTTGTGTCAGCGTCCACTTGAAATAAGGAAAAATTTTCTTGAAACAAGAAACGATTTTTCTGGGTGTAAAAGGCCACGGAGGCACGCGAAAAGCTCGACCAATCGGAGCTATTACGAGAACAGAAAAATAAGTGAGTTTGTTATTTCCCTACTTCCGTTTGAGATGGCCTGGCACACTCTATTCGCCCCGTACCCACCTCACGCCGGCGCTAAGTCGCCCCAATTTAAACTAGCTATATTTTTGTTAAGAAATGTTCCCTACCATCCAAACGGAACGAGATTATTTGTCTGTACGCAAGGCAACTCGGGAAGGAATTGAGATACCGATCTGGTAATTTTAGGGTCGATTTGCAGCATTTAAAGACAGATCAAGTTCAAACATGATGACTGTTATTCAAAATTTGGTTTAAAAAAAATTCAAAACCCACATATCCCAAATAAACCAAGCAGGCCCGCCCTTCCGCCAAACAGGGGCCGGGACTGCTTGGCCTGCCGGAGGCGATGTTCGGGCCCGCGGCCTGCGGCCTGACCATTTCTGTCACGCGATTTGCTGAACAACATAATCACATAATGTAACGGGCCCTCGGCCCGCTAAAACCCGTCGTCTTTTAAACTTGCCACCCTTCTGCTTAGGAAACGTTTTTCTAACCTATTGTTCACTACAGCCATTTTTAGCTTATTTTCGTCAAAAAAAAAACCCTCCAGCGCCTAAACGGTTTGAGATAGCCAAATGGTCGAAATTGGTCATTTGTGCCCGGAGGGTTCTTCTTCCT